TTTTCTGAGGCTTAAAAGGCTCAGAAAAGGTCCTAGAAGCTGGCGATTTCACCCATGTTGGACCCGTGCGGGGGGTGGGGGGAGCCTCGCAAGGGTCCTGGAAGGCTCCCCCACCCCCACCACAGGGCCAGCGGGGGCAAAATCACCAGCTTCTAGGACCTTTTCTGAGGCTTAAAAGGCTCAGAAAAGGTCCTCGAAGCTGGTGATTTTGCCCATGCTGGACCCGTGGGGGTGGGGGGAGCCTCACAAGGGTCCTGGAAGGCTCACCCAGACCCTTGCGACGCTCCCCCCCATGGGGCCAGCAGGGACGAAATCGCTGCCATCGCTCCATAAGACGCACAGACTCCCCCACACACACATTTTGGGGGGAAATGTGCGTCTTATGGAGCAAAAAATACGGTATGCAGGCTACAGATTGCCCCGCAGTGATCTGGGTAATGGATTTACTGATAGAACGCTGAGCCAGCCTGTCAGGATTAAACTAAGGTTGTGAGCAGTCTTGACTGCAGTACTTGACTGAAGTTTAACTAGTGCACCATAAGGCTACTTAAGTACATACATTGTCTAAGGATTCAGTGCTGAAGACTGATCAGCAGTTGTTCAGTAATAGCTTGGGCCCTGGATATCTGAAGGACCGCCTCCTTCCATATGAGCCTACCGGCAGTTAAGATCTAGCCAGGGGGCCCTTTTGAAAGAGCCGTTCCTCAAGGAGGTAAGAGGGATGGCTTGTAGAGAAAAGGCCTTTTCGGCAGCTGCCCCCAGACTATGGCATACCTTCCTGACTGAAATTCATCTGGCACCGACGTTGATGACATTTCAGCGCCAGGTCAAAACCTTCCTGTTCCAGAAGTCTTTTAATTGAAATAACATCAACTGTGGGTCCTGATGGCAATTTAAATTGTATTTTAATATTATTTTTATCATTTTATTTTTTATTGAATTTTAATTGTAAGCCGCCCAGAGACCTTTGGGTAGAGTGGGCGGCATATAAGTTAAATAAATAAATAAATAAATAAATAAATAAATGTTGGATTCAGGGAAGCCTTCTTTAATAAATGTCTTACTGTTGCTACTTCTAGGTAGGTGAGAACCCTGTCCTGTTACATGGAGGCATTTGCTAATCTTCTCCACTGGGCCAGTTCTTTGTGGCTGCTCGTATGAGCCAGGAAGGGCAGGCTTCTGTCACATATATGATAGTTTTAATCTCCACTGGACAAGCAGAAGTTGGAAGTTCTATCCACAGAATATATGTTAATTGGACAGTTGAAGTTGGACCAGTAAATCAGACTGGTCTTGTTTGCAAATTCATATTAAAGTGTGTATTCATGCTTTAAAATTGTTTTGATAATCTTAATAGGTTATTTCTGAAATGTGCTTAATTGTTTGCAGGGATTTGCTGCTCCCAGATGGCAATCGTGTCAGTGCTTTCTCTGTTGCTAGTACCGCTATTGCTGCAGCCCAGTGGTCATCCACCCAGGTAGGAAATATGTTTCTGAAACTGACTGATAGTGAAAGACAGGGTCAGTAATATTGCTATTAATAGCCATTTAAACATTCTTGCTGTATCTCATGTTTAACTATTATCTTTGCTTTATAGCCTCAGAGTGGAGAAGGTGGCACAGTTGACTTCAACTATCTCCAACTAGGGCAGGATGGTTATACCCAATACTCTCAGGTGGGTATGAATGGTGTTATAACCTGTGGATTGGACCCTGGACCAAGTGAAAGGAAGTTTTCTGTTCTCAACTATTTGTTCAGGAGAACTGAAAGGCTTTTCTGCACATTGTGTAATTAGGTGCAGGGAGGGGGTGCTCTGGGAGGAAGGAGTGAACAGCTGCCTAAGACGAGGTGAATTCCCACACCATCCCATAATGTTTTTTGGGGGGGAGCTTTGACACTTGAGTTGCTTTTCAAGGGGGGCAAAGTCAACCAAAGAGGTGGGGATATAGTATGCTTCATTATTGCATGTGTTGATGAGATGACTTTTTATGTGACTTTCCTAGATACTACAGAGTTATCTTTAAGGAAAACAGTACAGCAAAGTCAAATGACTTTTAAAAAATTGAAATGCATGTTACTAAAAAGCATAACACATGAACAGAGTAGAAAGCCAGCCTAGTAATGTCTTAAAAAGTCTAAAAACTAAATATAGAACAAATAGAGTAGCTAAAACTATCAAAATGAGTCAGGGATTTTTAGAACAAGAAAATAAGTTTTTGATCCAAATATCAGGGAATGCAGAGACGTTTACAGAAAGAAAGCTGTATGTGCCTTTTTGTGCCCTCAGATGCCTACCTATGTGTTTACCTGTGCTCCCAAATACATTTCCATGATGTTTTGAAAGTGGCTGTTAGAGAGAAGCTTTCTTTGTGATTGCCCTTGTGTTGTGAAATGCTCTCAAAGGGAAATTTACCTAGTAGGCCTGTAAAACGTAGTTCTTTTAGCACCACATAGTCTTTTCTAGGATGTGTTTAATTTCATTTTTCACACCACTCATGGGTAAATTTGATTTCATTCTCTGTAGTGTTCACAGGATTATCAGCAGTTTTACCAGAACCAAGCAGGAGCATTGGACACAGATACAGCTACAGTAACAGGTAAGAGCTTACATACTCTGTTAGGGAGGTGCAGTTCTCCTTCTTCATCCATTGATCCTGTGGGTGATTAGTATAGAATAACATTTTCTGTGGCTAAAACTGTTACCTGGAAAACCTTCATCTAAGTCTGATGTAAAAAGCAAATGGATAAAAGTGCTAGAACTGTCTTGTGTGGATTTGATCAGGGTGTTTGTTGTCATATTTGGAGGCATTCTTCATGTGGAAGGGCTTAGCTGCACCTCATTACCACTTTTCACATTTAGAATAAATACAGTTACAATTTCTTCAGTGTGTTTAACACAAACTTACTTGTTGGCAGGTGCTCCAGTGACAACTGGTACTACAGCAGCTGTTGTTTCTCAGAGTCCTCAGTTATACAGTCAACAGAGCAATTCACCTGATTCTCCGGTAAATACAACACATTTTCTTTGCATAAGGAGATCAATTTAATGTAGAGTTGAGAGTATATTTTGTAAACAAGAAGATAAGCTTGAAAGCTCTTGTACAGTGAATTGCTTTTAAAAATTTCTCCCCTTTTATTATCTTCTTTCCCAGACACAGGCAGCACAACCAGGCACTAGCACACAAGTTACAGCAACTTCTCCAACTGGTGTAGTCCCTGGTGCCAAGTATGGTAAGTAAGCTTACTGGCTAAATAATGGATGCCCCATGATTTAGAAATAGACAACATTGTGGTTTAGAGAGGGAGTGTGTGAACTTCCATCTTCCATTTAATTTCTGCTGTATTGTATTGTTGATATGGGACCTGTGTTAGTTGTTGGGGATGTGTGCTTAAGAAAGTGGGGATGTGATGCTGGGAGGGATCTAGACAATAGATAAATGAAAGGGAATAAAGTAGAAGATGCCTATCACTGTGTAAGAATGTAATTTTAGGCAGTTTTAGGTATTCTGTTTTAGCCTTGTTTTGAAATACTGTATTTTTGCACCATAAGATGCACTTTTTTCCCCTCCAAAAGGGGGGTAGAAAGTCTGTGCGTTTTATGGTGCGAAGGTGACTTCGCCCCCACTGGCCCCGTGGGGGGGAGCGTCGCAAGGGTCCGAGGGAGCCTTCCAGGACCCTTCTGATGCTCCCCCACCCCACGGGGCCAGCGCAGGCGAAATCGCCAGCTTCCTGGTGGGGGGAACGTTGCAAGGGTCCTGGAAGCTTACTCAGACCCTTGCGACGCTCCTCCTACCGGCAAAATCGCCAGTTTCTGGGAGTGTTTTGAGCTTCCCAAGCCTCAAAACACT